TTAAAAACCAAGCCCCGATGATGACAATTGAAAAGATATTGAGGAAATACTGAGACCGCCATTTATTCGACCGGATACATTGTTTCCGTTACGATCCACACGCCTAATCTCGGACGGTGATCGCTATCCCGTTTTCCAACAAACGATAGCATTTAGAAACTCGGAAAAAAATAGTTTAACATCGTTTTTGTAATGAAGAGTTCTCTTTTGCCTACCTTCGTACTTACTCCTCATCATCGTTCAAAAAGACAATACTGATTGCAACAAAATGTTCTCGAATGTGGTCGAAGTTGCAGAAGACGATGCTAAAGTATTAATGAAAGTGTTGCTAGGTTAGTAAGCCCTCTCCAACTAACATGCGAGACCAAGTAAATCAAAGTGATGAGGCATGAGTAGTCATTCTTCGGTGCGCATGCAATATAGTATCTATCAGGCGCGTTCTGCACAGATGTTTACGCTTGTATACCCTCGTTTGACTGGCTTTCTGCTTATATGATTTCTTCTAAAAATCTACACATACTTTGGTTGTCCAGTGTTAAACTTCGAATATTGAGCTAAAAAGGGTCGAACTCTGAACTAATCGCCATTTCTTTATTCAAAGCTTTTGATGTAGGATTGACCGTGATAAACTTACGCAAAAAATTCTGTCAATTTACAGAAAAAGAACTTTTTCCAGTACGAATTTCATAAGAAACACATAAGAATTACATAATAGTATAGCCCTGCAGGGCACGGATAACCTGTCCTCATGTGTCCTGTCTTGGCAGGTTAGGACACGTTTAGGTTACGGTTTCGCAGTTAGGATAGGTTATAGTTACGAAAATTTTAAAGTATCTAGTACATCAGGAAGAGTAGTCAAAACACGAAGACAGTCGCTGAATTGAGATGGTGATGATATATTTATTATTGATCAGAAAGTTCAGAGATGTGTGATCTTTTGTTATTCTTGTTTGGTGCTTAAATAAAGTAAATGACAAGAATTTACTTTATTAGAAATAGTTTTCGAACTTTTTGCAGTAACTTTTTCGCAGGGCAGGACAGAACAGGTTACGCAAAAAATATTGTAGGTTAGGACAGGTTATAGGTTATGAAAAAGTTGTAATCTGCAGGACTCTACATAAAAGTTCTTATGATTTTCTGATGAAACTCTTACGACTTTCTTTTAAGGCTTTTGTAATGTCCTTATGGAATTGTTGGACTCTCCTGCGGGATCTTATTTAACAAACCGGTAAGAATCTGATAAGACTTTTGTACGGGTCTTATTTGATAGTTATAGCGGTTTAGTAAGATTCTTGACTGATCCTTATATGAGACTCGTCGACTAGGGCGCAAACACCTAGAATGTGGAAGTCTACATGTCGCATGGCAGAGTTGTTTAGTATGTGTATAGCGGGATATGGAAATCCATGGAATTTGTGTTACTATCGGTAGTTGACGTATATGGTGTTTCTGTGCAGACGTCAAGAAGAGAAAAGCACAGAAGAAAAATTCTTTTAATGATAAGATGTGTGTGTTATATAATGTAAGAAAAGATAAAAGAACTCTGGATAAAACGTTTGTAAGCTGGAAGAAAGAAAAAGCACGAGAAAATGTTTTTCTATTAGACATCTAGCGTATACCGCATCCTCTTCTTTTATTTCATCTTCTCGATGTATTTAGTCATCGATATAGCAAAATTCATTTTTCTAGTCGGTTATTCACAAAGGATGACTTATCTTCGTGTAAGGCTAAGAATTTTTTTCTTCCATTCTTTTTTTCATTCACTAGCTTGCGTAGACAACCCTCCATCTATAACTCAGAAATCGTGCGTCGTACAATATTGATGCCAGTAGACTTTTTTCTTATCTCATGGAGATCCATAACTGCTGAGAGTTTCAGATCTGTATGACATGCTATTCTCCAGATGCCCGAAACTTACGGGGGGCTGCTCCGCCCCTGAAGAAGTTGGGAATTGAAGATGAACTTTACTTGTTTCAGAAAACAAAAGAAACGTTGTACGGTTCTGAGCCTTTCTAGAATCGATCATGTCTTCCGTGCTTTTTATCGTATATTTATTTCCATTGTTCACTCCTATAGTTCCACGAATTCACCTGTGTGAGAAGTTTGTCTTCGAAAGTTAGATAGAAGCGACGCAAGTTATTCAGTTGGTCATCATTGGTTTTAGCAAACCCAACCGAGTGAGCGAGATAGATTAACGGACCTAACTTAATAACAGACTTAACATTTTCATGCTGAACGCTGTCGGCCTGTTGCCAGCCGACTTGCTTTAAATAAGCAGTCGCAGATCGTGCTTCAACAACGCTTATTGAAAGTGCAGTGGTGTCCCACTTTGAGGATAATTTTTGTTTTAATCTATCGTAGATAATCTCGTTTAACATGCGAAACGGACGGGTCGATCTTGATTTAATTCTCGTCTCAATAGGACAAACTACTTTTCTATAGTTATTATCTATCCACGGTGGAAATAAATAATTGCATGAACATGGTAAAACCAAGCTGTAGCTTCTGAGCGGTACTGGTGTGCTTTGAAGATTGTCGGATATAAGTAAGTTAAGTAGGTTTTGGTCGGCTGATTGAGGCCATTTTGCTTTGGATCGATGTCGTTTATCCCATTCAATGTAATTATACTGTAGTGTTTGTTCCCAAATTCTGTGCCGGCGATAGCCTAGACAGTCAAATAACATGACTCCGCCGTTCAAAGTTCCTTGAACCATATGTGGCCAGATGGCAATGATTGGCTGTTCATGGTGATGATCAGGTGCTAAGGCCAATACTGGACGAGGAGGTAGCATAGTATAATTAAACCGGGTTTTTCTTATCTCATCAACGTCAAATATAGTTTTGCTTTTCTTGTTTACAGCAATAGGTATCTCTGGAGTACTATCTAATACACGTTTATCAATGCTTTGTCTTTCGTCGTACTCAGCTAATTGAAATTGCTGTATGTATTGATAAAAACAGTCCACATAGTAGCGTAAAGATCCATCAAGTAGTACTGTATCCGTATCAAGAGACATAACATACCGTATATCATGCGGCAATATATGCGGCAATGCTAATTTGCATATAGATCCCATATAACGAGCTGCAACGATCCAGTCTTCGTAAGGTTCAGTATAAGGACGGCATAGTGAATAATCGTAAAATGTTAGTCTGAAATGTACAGGACTTATGTTCCAACTCGAAATGACCGACTGTAATCGACTTTGTGCATCTGAAGTTGTAACAATGTGCCAATGTAATGCAAATTGTCTTAAGTGCAGATAGTTCTTGATTACACCGATCATTTCATCTGTATTATTTCCATCGCTCGCAAAGCCAATTGCAAACCATTCCGGGATCAAGTTAAAGGTCGAATCTAATGTTGCAGAGCTGTATATGTTAGCAACATTCAGCAGTCTTGGAAATGGTGGGTCAACAACAGCATCATTACTGTTACTTTGATCAATATCATATGTTATATTTCTATAGCAATAATAAGAAACACCCGTGAACAATACGATGAGCGATATTATGGTTGTTTTCTTGTTGCGAACGTACATAAATCTGACTGGCAAGAGCGAAAGCTTTTATAATTCCGTTAGAGTGTCTCAACACTTAACTCCGTTAACGATCGTTCCACTACGCGCGCTATTCATACTCATTGCACACAATTGCTGCATTCTGAATCATCTGAAGTATATCTGGAACAAGTAAAATTGGAAAAAAAAATCGATTTCAAAAGCGTAAATTTCACATACTCAGTCGTGATTTTGTCGTAAGTATTAGTGAGTGAATCCTTTTTCGTTCAATACGAATCACTATTTGTTCGTCATCCACTGTTGCAGTTTTACCTGCTTTTCTTTTTCCCCTCGGGCACATTCAAAGGTAGACTGTCACTGTCCCGCAGTCCACGCGAGTATTAAGTATCCGTAGACTCTGTGATCAAAAATTTCAGAATCGACCGAAACATTTTTTCGCGGCTGACCAGTTTCATGGAATATGGTATTGCACGATATTGGATAGAGTCGAGAATGGCGGACATTCTCTCACTGTTTACCATTGACCTCTGTGAATATTTAATCTGTATCTCCGTCATTTTGACCAAAAGTAAAATTGTTGTAGATCAGAAACGATGGGCGTCTTCCCGATCAATTTGGTTTTATTCTGTTCAAAATTGTGTTGTCTATAGGGTTAGATATGAACTATCCCCGCGACTCAC